ACGCCCCCCGCGCACGATCGGCTTTATATTTATATACGCCAATGTCGCGTCACATCTCCAGGCGGCCGCCACACTCATACATATACCTGTGTAATGTAATCGAGCCGAACATCTCGTCGCGACTGCATTATAAATCCGATGGTAATCTTTCGACCTGACTCGGAGTATTTTCTCCCGCGAGTGCCGCCTGGATATAATGTAACGGGACGCGTTACCGCAGCCACACGTACACACAGTACGTACATCGACGACCTCCTGGGGACGTCGCTAGGCTCGATGCAAAAAAGCCCCTACACATGCACACATATATGTGAACATTATATAGCATCGAGGCGTCAGAGTCGCGACGAGCATACATACACGTCCGCGCGCGTGACGTAAGGATCCCTCAGAGGTGTAAAGGCTCATTAGCAAACAATGAGAGCGAGCAGCCAACGTGTTTATGTATTACGGGATACGTTTCGGTTGCGCCATTAGGACAAAATATAATACCGTATACGTATAGACGCAGCTTAACGAGCATATTCCTAATTATAAATGGAAACGAACGAAAATAAACAGTCTTCGTGGTGATATAAATCAAAAGGAGTCACCCCGACCATGCGTACATACGGCGATGCGCGTAATGTTTTTGGAAAATGGCCCCGCTGCGTGATCGATGGAACGCGCTTGGAAAATTGCAAGCGCGAAAGTTGTCCTATCGAATTTCCCATTAAAATATCGCGGCTGCGAAAAAAAAGAAAGGAAAAAGCGTCCGCGCCTTTCTTCTTTTCGCTACGGTCGAGCCTCCGTGCGTATATCATGCGTGTATCGAGCGATCGATCAAAATCACGCGCGCGCGAGAGACGCAGTTATAAATGTGTCTGCGTACATAATGAAGGTGCAGCTGCGTTAACGCCCGTGACTCGAGGTGTGCTTGCGCGGTGAAATTGAAAATATAATCAAACGAGCGCTGACAGCCACTTGATCGCGGCCACAATTTTGCAACGATACAATGTGCGCGAATTGAATGATATGCGACGTAAAACGAACGCCAAAGTCCTCGCGCGTACAAAGGCAAACGATCAATAACGAGGCAATAAATTTATCGGCGATTCTCTCGCACGACGATTACGCATAAAATATTCTGTAGGTATGTGACAGAAGAGCTGCCTGAGAAAGATCTATCCTGAGCTTCGCATTCGCTAATTATGATTTTGGCTTCGATCTCGATTGTTTCCAACATCGGAGCTGTGTCGAGGCAAATGAAAAACCACCGGGCGTATTATACGTATCGATGTAACAACATGGCTCTCGCGATAAGCTCGAATTTAATCCACTTTAAACAATCGCGACACATAATAATAGCAACGGCGGCAAGTTCACGAACGCAAGTGAAAGTTACAAAACATCGATCGGCCATCGACGAACTCAGCCCAGCCCTCGCGTTCGTTTTCCACCTACACGTCTCGTCGCACGTCGTCCGTGTGTGTGAATTCGATTGCTCGGACTGATTTGTTTTTCTTTTTTGGTTTTTTTTTTTCAATCTTTTTTCGCCGAGGAAGAGTCGTGATACGGCACGAGAAAACTCATACGCGGTGGAAGAAGAAACGCGCTGATTTACGCGCGCGGCCCTCGTCTGTTTTTTTTTCGTTTGGCGATTTTAGTCGGTGCAGCAGCGCAGCGCTCGACTCGCGGTAATAAGCAAGAAAGTCGAGATTGAGCTATAAAGTACTCGGATGATTTTCCAATAGGTAGATAAATAAATGAACTTTAATTACTTGGCCGCGAGCTGCACGGGCCGCGCATGGAAAATCTGTACTGCAGACTGGAATCGGCCGGGCACATCTGCGGAGCGCGCCGACCTGCTGCTAGCCTGCAATATAATTCTATCGCGGCCGCAGGTATAATTATAAGTGCATATACACAGACAGCTCGAGAAATTGTGTTTTTCCTTGAGCGTGCGGCCGGTGCCCAACATAAGATATATATTCTCAGCGATCGAGCCGAGGGAAAAACAATGAGGCGCGAAAAGTAGCGATCTCGAGCGCATAAATCGATCGGTCGAGCGACTGGGATCCCGCAGCCGATGACACGTACATTTATACGTGCGAGGTACGGCATTGTTTTCGCTGTCGAGGCATATGCGAAGGCGCACATGAGCGAGATTCCACCCGCTCGTGCGCCTCGATAAACGTCAACAGCCGCTAGGACTGACTCGACGATGAAGAAAAGCCTCGGCTGTGCTGCAGCGCATATAATACAGGTACGCGCGCCCGAGTCGGACTTTCGCGATCGGCCAATTACCTGCGTGTAGCTGCAAGCCGGAGAAGTGAGAGTTTCTAGCTTTGCCATTCATTGTTCGTGGCGAATCTGCAACTGTACGGGCCCGCGAACGTGTGTGTGTGTGTGTGTACGTTCGCTGATCGATTTTCGGGCCAAATGTATTTCTCGCGTGCTCGGGGCATTAGCGAGTACAAGTCGGCGATTTGGGCGCGCGCGACGTGAAAAATGGCCCCCCGATGCTCCTCCAGACTCCGGAGAGACTTTGCGTATTCCGTGCGCGTCGATTCGTCGTTGCGCTGGGGGAGAGCGAACGATTAGTCGACGATCGAGTCGACGCAGTAAATCCGACGATTAGGCGGCCGCAAACTCGATAATAATCTATACGAGGCCGTTCGTCGAGAGAGAAAGACGCGATATATACGTACGTACATGTAGGCGCGCGGCGCACGAGCATAGGTCAAAATGCACGAAAGTACCGACCTACCGAACGCGCTGCATATGCTGCCTCTACCTTACGAATCGATCTTTGCACTTAAAGACTCGCGATAGAAAGTATAGCAAGAATTTAAATTGAAAATATTTCACGGCTCTAGGTGGATCGAGAAAAGTGGCAGCTGCAGATTGCACTATTACGACTTTTACGCGCGAAATTTGTCACCGCTCGACAACGCGACACAACCCAATGTGTCTGTCTATGTGTGTGTGTTTGTGTACACGCCTGCAACTGCCGCGCGGGTATTAATGCAAATAGCTGGTTTTCCGCTGTATATTCCGCCTGCAACCCGGAACCCGTGCGGTATATACACGTGTAATCGCTATACTGCCGCTACTGCACTGTACACTCGGCGACCAACGCCGCCTGCAGCTCGCTGATTTTCATCTGCATCTCTCTCTCTCTCTCTCTCTCTTTCTCGAGAGCTATACTCGAGGCGAGAAATGTACACAGCGTCGAATACACCGCTACTCGCAGCTATACGTATTTACTCTCGTCTCTATATCTGCAAACACACACACACACACACACATGCGCGCGCCTGCGAGATTACGTGAAAATCTTTGCCCTCTCTATCTTTCTTGGCGAGTGATCCGCTGCGCAGTTCCGCGCGATACGTGGTAGGTGTTAGCCCTGCTGTGGTACTGCTGCTGCTGCCAATGCCGATTTTCATTAGAATTCGACGTTCTGAGTGAAAGTTTATGTGCTCCATCGCTCAACGAGCCGTGCGTTGCTGTATATATACATGTATATAGGTCGGCACAGCTCGCTCGATCGATCGATCGATCGATATGTGTGCCGATTTTTCAGGAGCAAAGCCGAGCAAAAGAGCCCAAGCCCCGCTCGCGATAGCTACGCCGTCGGCTGAGCACGTGCATGGGAAATTCGCTATTCGCCGAAAGTCAGAGTCGGATCGCGCAGCGACAGCGACAAGCACGGCTGACTACAGAGCTAAACGTATATCCAATGCTGCAATATTACGTATAGGATAGACGTGAGCTGATTTACTGCCCGTAGGATCGAGTTATCCAATATTCGGCGCCATTATATCGAAATGTACGTCGATCGAGCGACGATCGTGGCAGTCAACGCGGAAGACAGCCCTCCTAGACGTACGCGTTTTAATGCGATCGATCGATCGATCCATCGACACTGATCCTCCGATGCCGATCATCCAATTGGAAAGATCTGCCAATCATGCTGTCAACCGATTTATGTATATTTTTCATGCGATTCGGAACGATTAAATTGACGAGAGATTCACGCGAGCTCACGGAAACGTTCGCGGCTGATGATCTTAGCTGCTGGGTCGAATCGTCGAGCTCGCACACACACCGCGATTTGATATATTCAATGATTCGGTCGCCGATCGGCGCACCCCTCATTTCAATATAAAGACGTATTATGCGCGTATTTTTGCTCGTACACAGAGATACACTTACGCGCGGCCCGGAGCACATGAATGCACGAGAAAATCCGCAGTCATTGGGCAGGGTGAAAGTACGAGATACCCAGATGCTAACTATTGTTTTGCGTCTGCTGCTCGGGCACACACACACACACACACACACATGGTGCGATATGTAGGTATCTATGCACGAGCAAGCCGATCGCCACATGCCTATACATACATAATGCATGCAAAATAATTGATTTGCTCTGCAGCTCTTTGAGAGCTGGCATATTATTATCCCGTGGCTTCTACACAGCCTTCATACAGCACGTGTGTAGACGTCAAATGTATGTCCGCAATTAATAAACACGTTATGTATTATTTCACATCGACAATACGTATAGATATAAAGTGAGCCGGAGCGTAGGCGGGTCTTCGACACTCATGCTCGCTACGTTGGCTGCGGGTAATTATACACATGTGTCCACATGAACGAGGCTCATATCTATCACACGCAAACCGTCTTTAATTACCCACAGATTATTGTTTTTCTCTCGCAATTGTTTCTCACCTTCCGAGCATAATCAATCGTAGTCTGATTTGCTTCGCATTTTCTACAATGTTACGATCGATGATTTACCTTTTGCCCACCACTGTCGAGCTCTATTCAGCTTGTACTGTACTCGGCCAATACGTACACATTGGATTTCCGCTTAAGTTCTCAAGCTGCAGCTGCCCCCGTAGTACTATTTAGTTCAGAGGTGTGCGAGTACTCAAAAAAACGCGAGTCAATCGAGTATTTCTCAACCGCTGCGCTGCGCAACGGAAAAGTCTTATTTTGTTTGTCCTATGAAAGACTTCGATATTGACTTAACGGAGATATTCTTCAGAATTGTCGAAGACATCCAGAAAACAGTTGACATCAATGCTCGAGACAAGTTAGGTCGAACAGCCCTACACTATGCTGTGGCTAACGAGTTTAAACTACAGATTCTCCGATTGCTGACTTCCGGTGCCGACCCGAATATGGCCGACGAGGAGGGATTGACACCTTTACATTTTATTTGCCAGAGAAAAGACAATTGTGACTTTGCGGAGTTGTTCTTCAAAATGAACAAAAAACTCGATCAGCAGGTGCAGGTCGACGCCCGGGACAAGTTAGGCCGGACGCCGCTGCAATTAGCCGTGGCGAATCTCAATTCGGAGCTGGTCGGTATACTCTTGGATAATGGCGGTGATCTGTCCAGCTTCGTTTTTCCCAACGAGAGTCATTTCACTGTGAAATTAGTACGACATCAACATGACACGTTGCTCCATCATAAATTGAGAATGGCGTCCGCTGTTATGATCGTCGTCGATTGTCTAGAGGAGAGAGGATACCAACTAGACCGAAGTGACGCCCTGACGCTCATGAAAGTTTTCGCCGACTATGAATTGTTCGACAAGTCGGCGGATCTCCAAGCATGTTTGTATAATAACAAAAGATTCGTGAGAAAAGCGAAAAAGTTGAAGGTAAATTCGAGTCTGTCGTTCTACGACCTCATCCAGTTACCACCCGAAGAGGTGGTGAAGCAATCCTCTTATTTGGAAATCAACCTGATAGCACCCTGGATGCATTGGTGGAAATTCCCGAAAACACTTGTTGAGGCTTGTGTTTTGCATCTGTGTGAGAAAATGTCGAGAGGATTTTTCCGCTCCTGGGCACTGGATCCTTTCTGGTAGTTGTTCCACCAAAGGCTGCCAATTGAGGTCTGTGAACCCATCGTCGAGAAGTTTATGAACCAAGATTTATATCACATTTGCTTGGCGGCCAGAGATCAAAGCTCGTGATGTCAATAAGCATATTTGCAGTCTTTGGTGTTATTTAATGTTGTATACTACCCATTATGAATCATTCAAATAAATAAATTTAACAATTAGTTTTTTAAGATAACAAAGACACTGCAAAGTTCAAATACTCGAAAAAAGATGAATCCCCGAAAATATTCGGGTACTCGAATTTTCTCGATTCGATTCGTGTTCCACATGATCCTGATTAGTCGAGTTCGAGTTGAGTAGAACTCTAAAAACCGGATACTCGCAGACTAGTAGTGCTATCTGGGTTCTGTAATCGTATTACTTTCGAATTAACTTGAAGAAACATATTACGTATTGCACAAATACCGTAGATTAGATGCGAGTACGGTGCGATCCTTGCGTCTTTGAAATAATAATAAAAAAATCGAACAAGTTGACTCTGGATCTCGTCTTCTCTCGCGAATTTGTAAAAGAAGTTTTACACGGCGCAAATAAAATTAAATCAAATCCGAGCGTGATTTTTGATAGAGAGGAAAAAGCGAGCGTGCGATGAAATTAATTAAATTCTCGGCACTTTTGCTCGGCGCAGACTCTCAACATACAACAAGGCAGCTGCGTTGGAAAGTGCGTGCACTACATCACTTATTCCCGCGGAGAGAGCATAACATTGGTCGGCTAATATTCGCCGAGACATTAATAATATTCATTACAGAAAGCGAGAAGAAAGAGGGAAGGGAGAAAAAGAATGGTCGTTTAGAGGCTTTTGCTTGGCCGCAAGCCGTCAATTATCGCAGATCAAACGGTCAGTGGCTCGCGCACGCAGGCCTAGAGCGCAATAAAAGTGGACATTACGCGCGCGCACGATGATATCTGCGCACTTGTGACAAATTCGCGATGTTTATTAGCCGATATCGCGGGACTTTCACACGCATCCTATACACAGGACGATACTAATGTGTAATAGGAAAATCGGCGAGCATGACATCTGCCTCGCGCACCAGTCGACTCTGTTTTCTACATAATTACAAAGTGCGCACGGATGGACGCACTTTGCAGAGTAACGCACGGAGAGCAGAGATCGTTACTGGTGCGCGAATCGGTGCAGTATGCATATACTTTGTTTCGTCGCGCTTCTGTGTATCGAGAATGTAAATATAGCCGCGCGCGCGACAATCGTCCGCCACTTTTTTTCTCCCTCTCTAGTCTCTCTGCGCCGCTTCTCGGAATAAAAGTGCGAACGTGCTCCGCTTTTCTCATCGAAAGGCACAATTATTTGGGTGCAAGTGCCTCTCTCTATTATCCGGGCGCTCGGCGACGGCGGCGGCGGCGTCACGGCTCAACGCTCCAAGTGTTTATTCTTATATACATGGTTTTTTCAAAGCGCCGATTGTGTTGTGCAGCTCTCGTCGTGACAGCATCTTTGTATAGGTATAGGTTGCATTGGGGGCCAATATTGCGCAACGGAAAGCGTGACATTCGCGTACTCCACTCTGCAGACGATCGGTACAATATACCCTGGAGGAGGCGTGGGACGTGCACTACGTGCGGCCTTTCAGATTGTGTTATACAGTAATAACGAATGCCGGATTCGAGCGACTGCCGCATACACACACACACACTTAGACACAATAAAGCACGTGCTTATGCCTGCACCAGCTTATACATACGTATCTGTATTATAGAGGCATTTATCTCTCGGCTCGCGCAAAACTGCCAAGGAGCGTGTGAATCTAACAATGATTTATGGAGTGGCTTAAAAGTTTGCCGCTAGTTTTGAAAAAAATGTATTCGAGTACGAGTTTGAATCGCGACAGTTTATGTACATCATGCGACGCGTAACATCGGCATTTGTTCTCGAATTTGCACGCGGCGATATTCATCGCGGAGCGTAATTGTCGTCGAATCGACTCTGCGGCCTAATCGTCGTCGCGTCGAACACATAACATATAAATGCTGCGCACGCGGTAATCGTTTGCTGCTGTCGTCGTCGTCGTCCCATAAGGTGATCCAATCGGTAATTGATATAGATGCGTACGAGCGATCTTTCCAGCAGCGAGACTCGAGCTCCCGAGACGCTGATCCGATCCACGTGCTCTCGACTACTTTCGTTTTTCCTTTCGCTTCCGCTTCTGTAGACATATATGTATAGCATATCTAGGTAGCTTTGGCTTTACACGTTTCAATGATCCGAGCACATTCGAGGCTGGCAGGCGCATTATGCGCGCCGGCTTAATTTTTCATCTCTCGCAACTTTAACAATAATCCTCGACATGCATATAAGTGTATCCCGTGGACTCGCGCAACGGCCGGCCTGTAATATTCGAGCGTAAAAATGCATCAACAATCGCTCATTGAATTCTCTTGGCGCGCGGTAATAAGCACCTTTAATTGAATCTCTTTCGGTTTTTCTTTCGCTGCTGCTGCTGCTGCAGTTCGTTTCGAGCATGTGCGAACTCGAGTGTCAGAAACTCTGCTCGCACGCGATGCCTTCCTACCTATATTACACACACTTCCAGCTCTCATACGGTATACGCGGCCTTATAATTACAAGAGGAGCGAAACGTCAAAAAGCCGCCGTTTGAGTTTACGCGCATTCGAGATCGTTATGGTGTACCCCACACGTACCAGTTGTGTATTAAATATAGGATTCCAAAAAGAGGAGCTCAAAAACCTCGGAGCTCCGTTTATAAAAGCGACGACGATCGCTGCAGGAGGAGGGGGCAAGCCGTTTCGAAAAATATGGAAAATCGATTAAAATTTCACGCGAGATTTCAATGCTCCATGCGGTGGTGCTTGGGAAAATTGTTTCGAACGTGTATCTTGTGATATTAAGAGAGTGAGAAAAGAGAGAGAGAGAGAGAGAGAGAGAGAAAGGGGAAGGAGAGAGAAGGAGAAAGAAAAGGATTCCGGAACGGGAAAGCCACACACACGTACTTACACACACACGCTTATGGCTTTCTCAGCGAGTATATAGAATCGATTCTCGAGAAGGTCGATTATACGAGCATAGCCGAGCGCTGAGAAATGCCGATACATTATGCGGGTGGGATTATACGAGCTGTGAAAATTGTACCCGATAGTCGCGTGCGCGCAGTTACACCGACCACATAACGATCCATATCTGTCTGCATACGAGAGCTGTGGATAGCTCGCGTCGCTATACGTACCGATTCGAGCGAAATTTCGAGTACAGTCGAAGGTAAACAAAAATTTCGCCGATCCGCGTTAATGCGCATCCGCTTATAATCGTTGTAGCGCTCCACTTACGCCAAACTTTGCATGTAAAGCATATAAAAATGTGTTAATGTAACGCAGCCTCTTCATTATTAGTTCGCTCGAGACGATGCGTGTCGATTTCCCGACTCTCTTTTTTTCATCGGCCTTGCTCACGAATCGATCCCAAAATACGCCATCAGCTCGGTCCACTCGCGATCGTCCCGTTAGCGAATCGACACTCGAGACTCGTGCTGGACTCGATCGAGATGCGACACTACGTACCGTGTGCTCAAGCACATAATTGGCGAGTACTTAAGCAGCGATAAATACATGTGTGGGTGTAAAGCGGATTAACGTGCACGAGCATATTTATATAATGTACTACAAACGACGTTCGATATGCACACCGACGGTCATGAGACACGGCGCTTGGCAGAATCGGTATATACTAATACCGATCGTGGCCCATTAAGCAGCGCATAATACAAGCGCATTCTCAGTCAGCAGTCGATAAACTGAAATCGCGGACAGGTTTTACGAGCGTTTATGAGACTGCGTGTACACGTATTAAATTAATATTCGATCGAAACTGTTTGCATACATGTTCGAGGCACTCGTGGAGGCGCGAGCTGCATAAGACCTTAGTATATAGTATATAGTGTACGCAGATTTTTCCGTCCCATCTGTCCGAGCGAGAGTCGATACCAACTGCGTGAAACGATCATCCAGCTCGAGAGCCCTGAACGTACATACAAACTCATGCGGCGCTACGTATACGAGGCATACATAGTACGTTGCATACGCGGATCGTGATCCAGGCGCAATTGCTTACGATCGGGCATTATAATATATACGTCATCGTTACCGAGTATAACATGGTAATAACGACGTCGACAGTCGACACTCGATCCGCGCCGTACGAGGCAAGCCATCTCCCTGCTGTATATACCGAGTGGCTATGGCAACGCGAGAAGAGAACAAAAAGTATATATATACGAGATCTCCTTAACGAAGTTGAGACTTACATGCATCTCTTGTAATATACGTGGGCTACATCCTATCAAACGTAGCACGTACTGCAGCGAGCCCAGCGATATCAGCTCGCGGCTTATATAAGCTTCTAAATGCTCTTGCGCTCACACACACACACACGTCGTTGTTATATTGCACTTTCTTGCATACATAAATGCATATACAACTAGTACTTTCAGCGATTTTTCATACGTGCATGTGTGTATGTGTATGTGTGTGTGTGTGTGTGTAGAGGCTCGCAGCGGAGCATCTCTATATGTATAATAAGCTTACGAAGCATACAGTTCCGAAGCACGTCAAACGTTTCACGTATGAGGCACGTCTACTCGTTGAATTGCGATCTCCCTTATTCTTTGCGATGAGCCAGAAAAAGTATCCGCCCGTGTCCGTGTGAGTTGCGTGCGCAAAAGTGCGTACATCCGCTCGAATGCATATAGGATGTTAGCCGGTTTGAGCTTTCATCGCATCGTACATTAAAGCGAGCCACGAGCCATTTCGCAATGATCGCACTGTTCGCGCCGTAACGCGATCTCGTACGGTGCGCGTCACGCCCATGCCTATATGTATTAACGTAATAATAATATTTGCGATCGTATACACAC